ACAAAGCGTTGCAGCTTTCTGCTCAATATCTAATTCCTATCAAGGGAAACAAACTTCAGGCAATGCAGCCCAGAATTTTGCTCCCTTTATTCTGGGCCCAAGTTAATCCTCCTACTCAGAGCCCGGGGATAAGCAGACCTACCCAGCTCCCCCTTCGCCCTCCACCCCACCGCCGAGGAGTTCAGATGAGGCCGTCCCTATAATTCCATTCCCATGATTCACTGGCAGTTGCTACCAAGGCTTGAATTTATCTAAAACTGGCACCGACTCCAGACTCTGATCCTGCAGCCGTTCCTCCGCGGAGAACCAAGCTTTACTTCGACTGTCCCTGTAGGGCTGCAACGAAAGACGTTTTCCTTGAGAGCCAGCACTGCCAGCTTTTCCAGGCCTCTGGTCAGACCAAGTGGACTACAGAGAATCCCACGCAGCAGTCAGAGTTTCCACAGATTATTCCAGTAATCCTGTGGTATAAATAGCAGCTTCGACAAGACCAAGAGGCTGTTTCTCTCAGGCACTGGTGTTTTTAGGACGGAGGGCAATTTTGGATGCCAGTTCCTGCATTTCAGGACATGCTCTTGTCCCGCCCTGTTGAGCTGTTTTCTTGTTCTGCTTGGAAGTGCAGGCGGTACTCTGGATGCACAACGAGAAGATGCACACGAAAGGCAGATACTCTGGGTCCTTCCATAGTATTCTGTGGAGGTTATGCCAATAACAGAGAAAAAAAATGTATGGGAGGGGAGGGAAGTTCTACAAAGCCTGCCACTTCAGGCAGGGATAGAATACATCCTTCAGATGAATCCAACTTTCCTCCTGTATTAAGTGAAAGAGGCGGAATCAGTGGAGGGAAAAAAGGCTAGCTGTGGTATTTCTGGAGGCCATTTGGCAGGTGTAAAGAGAATGGCAAGTCAGGAGGCAGAAGGCTTTAGCAGACGAATCAGGCAGTGGAGGAGACCAAGCAGGAGATGGCCGGAACACCAGCACATGGGAAGGCAGAACGGGCAGCGTTCCTAGGAAGCCATGCCGAGCAGGAACCCACCGACAAAGCCTCCGGACAGGAGAACGTTCTTCTTCAGAAAAGAGATTGCCTGGATTGAGAAAGGAAAAGCTTATGGTGGCTGGGCTTGGGCTCTCCTTACTTCTGCTGCCAGAGCTATTAAAAGTCCCCCCAAATCAGTATTCCTTTGGAACAGCAGTGAGACAAAATGACACACTGAGCAAAGCGAGCCATTGGCCCAGAAGGGCCCAGAGGCAGCGCTCAGGAAAGCTCTCCTGCTGTTCAGAAACGTCCAACTTAGAAAATGCCTAGCTCCTTTGCAGCTGGGAGCCTTTAGGTAAGCTGCAATGAGATTTCTTTGGCTCGCATTTAGCATGTTGGGTGAACCTGGCTATTCTGGTTCACAAATTGTGATTTACAATTGAGCAGTTTCTGCACAACCAACCATTTGTGGTTTACTCCAAAATCTGTGGCTAAGTAAGTCGAACTTTAATGTGTGTGAGCAATGTCTAATAACTGATGGATCAGCCCATGGAAGACTTATGGAACAGGTGGAGTAAAGATCCCAAAAGCACACAAAGGGTAACTTTATTGAGCAAGATTAATGGCAGTTACCTAATCTAATGGATTCCTCAGATTGTGATCTATCAGACCAAGTGCAATCTAGCAGACATGCATTGTGGCTGTCCAGAGATCTGTCAAAGTTGCTTTAATAGTACAGTGGTGCAGCCATATGCACACAGATCCGGGAAGGAGAGTTTTTGAAACTCTGTTAAACTTATTTGAGGACTTTCACTGACATATCTGGGTGTCTTGCCTTTAGGCTAGAGAAAATTGTGCCAGGGATTTTTAACAATTGTGCAGCTGAGATGCTTAGCTAGGAAGTAAAAGACAGTCCTGGGAGAACTGTGGATTGCCAACCCAAATTCTTTGTCTCTCCTGCTCTATTGCATAATTATTCTATTTTTCCTACTCGCACCCTAGCAATCAGCCCCCCAGACACATCTTTTAACATGCTTGGCCAGCAGTCTCACCTCATCCATTTGGTTCTTCATTTCTGGGGCCAGCTTGCTGGAGGTGCTACCAGAAAACTTCAGGTGCTTCTTGGCTTTGCTTACATCTCGCTCAACCATCTTCCAGTCAATTTTGATGTATCCTGTGTGGTTTGCAAGCTGGAGCAGGGAAAGGTTTCATGAAGCAAGAGCCTGCATATAAAACCAGGTCTTCCTGGACAATCTGCTCATTTCCCCCCTGACTGACAAAGAAAAGCATACGAGGTCCAGGGTAACTACTGTTCAACTGGGCTCCTGTACAGAAGGCATAGGACTAGTTCAAGGCCCATTTCCTTATGCTACTCACTAACAGGAAAAATGGCAATCCAACACAACGAACTTTTAGAAGTCCTAAAAGCTATTTTTGGAAAAAGCCAGCACAAGTGAAACAAATGCAGCCAGGGCTTGCACCCAGCCAGCAAGGTTTAGCAACTGCCTAGTTTCCAAAGATGAAGGGCCCACTGAGCCAGTGAATCACTAATTTGCTCTTAGCAGTTGGAAAGATCTGCAGAGAAGGTAGAACCAAGATTATAGAAGCCACTGGGGTTGCAAAGAAGATCCCTGTGCCTATATGCATGGATGCATGCCAAATTTAAAATAGAAGAGCTGTTCCTATGAGGTTGATCTTCAAAACAGAAGCTAGTTTTGTTTTAACTGTTAATCTTAAGTGGCTGTTGATGCTGTGACTATTTTCTACACTGGAAACCACAGAGCCCACGTTATACACAAGAATGTTAAAAATAAATTAAAAAAAAAAAAGGAACTCCCAGCTGAGAGATAAATAGGCTTGTTTGGGTTTTATTTTTATTGAAATCCTGCATCTTAGCATCTATGACAAGTAGTATCCAGGCAGGATCTAAATCAGAGTTATAATAATGCAGCTCCCTGCACCTCCATATGGAAGAAAACAGTACCCATGTAATTTCAGCTCCTTCATATATTACTTTTATTTCAGTCAACTTTTCCTTGAAATTTATGGCAGCCTGTAGAAGTCTCCCTCTTCCTCATTCTACCCTGCTATCAATCCTGTAAAGAACATCTTCGGCAGAGAGACAATGACTGGTTAGGTCACCCTGTGGGATTCATAGCTCATGGAATTTCAGCTCCGTTCCTATTTTCATTTATTTACAAGCAGAGTCTTGTCTACTCCTACGACTCTAGATGGCTTATGATATACAGACCTAAAAACAGCCCAGCGTAAAAATACTACCTCTTGCTGTCCTAATTAAAATCTTTCTATGGAAGAGAAATATCTTCAGTATATTGATGATCTAACCCCAAACTGACAGGTGATCTACTCGAGTGGGGAAGATATTAATTAAACAGGACGAAGGAGAGGACTTAGCCCTGGGGCACCGCCCGCTGGTGTGCTGAAGGGCTCGACCTCTTTTCCCCCAATACCAACTGGAACTTCCTGCTCAGGAAGGAGCAGAACTACTGCAGAACAGGATCTCAAATGTGGAGTCCTTGGGGTTCTCTGAGCTTGGTTCTTTTCTTGCAAACGTTTCATTACCCAGCTAGGTAACATCTTCAGGGCTAAAATGGGCTGGGGTTTGCTCTCTATTTATGTGCTGTGGCCTGCCTTGCCAGTGCTGGTAAGGGTGGGGGTTTTGTTTTGCTCCTCTGGCAGCCCCAAAGGATGCCATCATCCATACCCAATCAAACTGCAAAATTGGTAGGGGTATGAAAGACCCAAACTCTTCTAATGTTATTGGACTACAGAGAATGGTCAAGGTTCCCCGTTCCTGATCTCTACAAGCAAAGATGTCCCACTGGTAGCAGCAAGGCATCTGATGAGACCCAGCAGTTTGATGCTGCCCCTGACCGGAATACGCCCATAGTCTAAAAAGGTTCTGTGTTACAAGGGCATGTGTGTGTCTGAGTGTGTCAGATCGGAATGTGCTACACGGCCAAGTCAAAAAGCAAGAGACCTAAGGGCCCCATTAAACTAAAATCTGTGAGATAAAACATGAGTGTGGAGCTCTTGCTGAAGACAGATGAGATTCCCCCTTGGGCTGCTGACCACTCCCAAGCCCATGGCGAACATGAACCAACCTGAAGCAGAAAGAAGCCACCTCCCACTGCAGTCGCTGCCAGTTTGCCAACCTTCTGGAAGATGAAGCCAGTGCACCTGCCAATCAAAAGAGGGGGTGTCAAGTAAAACAAGGCTACATGAGAGACAATCTGGTGTAATGGTTAAGGCACCCGGCTAGAAACCAGGAAACCATGAGTTCTAATCCCACCTTAGGCACGAAGCCAGCTTGGGCCAGTCCTCCTCTCTCAGCCCTAGGAAGGAGGAGGCCAGGGCAAACCGCATCTGAAAAACCTCACCAAGAAAGCTGCAGGGACTAGTCCAGGCAGTGGGCAGGAGTCAAAAACAAAACAAAAGAAGAACAACCAACTCATGGCTTAAAGCATTACCAAGGGGTCTGTCTGTAAAAAAGTGAATGTTTGAAACCCAAGGACTATGGCGCTGCTTGACCCATCACACCCTCCCCTCACCCACCATCCAATCCAAGCACAACCAGCACACAGAACAGCCTCACCATCCCGTGACGCCTCCAATTGCCAGCTGGGTGACCACGTTGTACTTCTCCTCGCTGGAAGTTGAACTTGGCGCGAATAGTTTGCGCCACCACGGTAGGTTCTTTGTGTATTCAGCCAGGTCCAGCACATCTTCGTCACTACTCTGCCTCCCTACAAATCAGTGTAAAATCATAAGGGAAGAAAGAAAATAATGTCCGTGATTTACAGGACAGTGACCTCACCGGTGGAAGCCTACTCTGAAATTTAAAGAGCAGCAGTAATGCAAAAGAAAGTGAAACGGCAGAAATGTACTTTCACAGATGGAATTCCCACCTTGGTCTCGTCCATGAGTCTGTTACCTGTAATTTACAGAGTAAATGAAAAATGACATCCTTTACAAAAAAATGGTTGGGACTCAGGCAGCACACACACTGAATAAATAATAACCGAATCACAAACAAGCCAAGCATATTTTAGCCTAGCATTTGTATGAACTCAGCCTGTGTGAACATTTCAGTGTTTCACGAGAACCAGAAAATGTGGTTCATTAAAAAAAACAAAAAACAAATCTATGCTGTTGTATAAACACAGTAAACCAATCAAACTATGACTGAACAGAATGCGTGAACCCAGCCTCCACTTGGGTTTCTGTGGTCCCCTTTTTATGTGAGTCTTTATAATAAATATAGAAACTTGTCCCTAAAAATAAAAATCTAAGCATCGTTTCTGTGGTCCCCTTTTTATGTGAGTCTTTATAATAAATATAGAAACTTGTCCCTAAAAATAAAAATCTAAGCATCGTTTCTGTGGTCCCCTTTTTATGTGAGTCTTTATAATAAATATAGAAACTTGTCCCTAAAAATAAAAATCTAAGCATCCTTCAAATGCTAGATGTTCCCATCTCTTTAAAGATCTTTCAATTCTTCAGCATGACGTTTTATCCAGGATTTGACAAAAATGTCATTGGAAACGGTTCTCTCCTGGGTCAGAGCACTGCTCCACCCGAGCCAGAATTTCCATTGTGGACATGCTAGAAACTGAACATGGAGCTGAACCTGCCAGATTCAGCTGTTCTGCTGAAGTATGAGCTTGTCCAGTGAAGTCTGCCTGAAGATCCCAGCCCTAGTTATTGTTATTCACCACCCAGATGCCTTGAACAACTCCTATAATCTCCGGTTATTACCGAAATAGCTACACTAGCTGAGGACCACGGTGGAAACTGCAGATTAATGTGCATGGAGAATATCAGATTAGAGCTGGACCATAAAAAAGGCCGAGTGCCGAAGAATTGATGCCTTTGAACTGTGGTGCTG